TTTTCTTAAGCAACTCAAAAAACATAGAGTGAACTGGCAACTTCTCCTTCAACTCTAAACAGCCATAATCCAAAGTGTTCTGACAACCTCTTTTACAGTCTGGTATGGGAGCTTGGATAACTAGTCAAAAGGCAAACTGGAAAGGGTTGTGTCCAAAGCTGCAAAAGATGTTGGCTGTGAAATCCTTCTATTTCATCTCTCTACCAAGAAAATAATCTCGGACCCCTCTCACCCAGCTCATAATCTCTTTCAGCTTCTCCCTTCTGGAAAACATTTCAGATCCTTTCTCTCAAGGACTGCCCGCTTCAACCTCAGCCTCTTTCCCACTGTCATACAATCTCTGAGTTCACGTTGAACTCTGAATTCCACTGTGTAATGATGCTGCTACATGGAATGTTGTTTACATATGAATGTGACGATGTTTGTCTGTCTTCTGTTTTATTTAAATTTGTACTGTATATGTTGTATATATGTCTCATCTGTGTTCTTTCCTGTACCGAAAGCAAATTCCACTGACTTCTGTTGTGTGACACTAAAGAATAAAGTTAAAAGAAGAAAGAAAGCATTATGTTTTAACTGAGATGAATAGCTAAGGTTCTGTTCTGAGCTGTCACTCCGGTTGTTGAATCTTTAAGTTGAGCTGCACAGAAGTAAGACTGAAGATCTGGGATAGTTTGAAAGCTGTAGGTTTTACCTGAGGTTTTCTTCCCTCCCAAATGAAATTAAAAACAATTATCCAATTCAGGGTCACCGTTACCCAGAGCCTGTCTCAGGAAGCACTGGACACAAGGCGGGATTGAACCCTGGACAGGATGCCAGTCTATCAAAGGGCACACACTCTCACATTTTTGGCTTTCCCAAAAATGTATTAACCTGCCAGCACGTTTGTGGACTATGGAAGAAAACAGGAACACCACACAAACATGGGGAGAACATACAAACTCCACACAGACAGCACCCCAGGTCTGGAATTGAACCCAGGGCCCCAGTGAGATATCTGCTGCAATGAGCTGATGGAAGCAGTAACCTGGAGACTGAATCCAGGTACAGGCTCTGCTGGACACAAGCAGGGCAGGCAGGAGAAAGTAAAATTAGAGACACGATCGAAAAGGCAGGGGTTGAGCTGAGAGGAACTGATTAAAGCACCAAGGAGAGTCTGAAGAAGAGTCGTTTAACATGCAGGGTTCAAAGCACAGGGATCAGTCCAAGACGTGGTCAAACGGGCAAGGTCAAAGCACAGAGAGAGAGGAGAAAATGCTGGGGAAAGCTGAGAAGAAGTAAATGAGACTCTGATATGAGAGATTAACAAATTGATAAATTTTGTATACCGAACTCTCTTCCAAAGCTTCATCCTTTCAGATGTACAGTATGTACAATATCAGAAAACATAGGAGGAATACTCAAGAGTTAAAAGTAAGATGCAAATGAGAAAAGGAGATGGGAACTTCCACAGCAATTGAAGAATTTAAAACCATTCAAATCTGCATAAGTCCACCAATTCACATTCATGGAGAGAATGTGAGTAAACAATTCATATTCAATATTGGAAAAAACATAAACAGCTGGAAGAATGGCTGGGAACACCTGGCATATTGTAAAGATTTTTTGGTATGAAAATAAATTAGTGAAATATTCTGAAAAACAAATATAAGAAAAATCTTTGTTAGGAGTCCTTTTTCTTCTGGCACAAACACCAGATGAGCTGCCTTCAGAGGCAGAAAGATACTTGTCTAGACCTGTCAGAACTGCAGCCATGAAATAAATCACTAGAAACTGGTTAAAACTGGACAGACCTTGTGTTCAAATGAAGAAGGACTACATATACATGTGTGTATAAAAAAGATGGGAAAAATAGGAAAGATTGCATATTGAATCTCTCAGTAATGAGATATTCACAAATAACAATAGTCCCAAACAAGAACTTGTATACAATTGTGTAGCAGTTTTTTGTCTTTGTATATGCCCGGCTTCTTTTTTATTTTTGTCATTCCTAGGTATGGATGCATGTGAAAAAGTCAATATTCTGTGTCTCAGCATACCTAAATAAAACAATAAAATACAAAGAAATCACCAGTGATCACTTACTCCAGTTTTGTTAATTTACAGTTGGGATCCCTCAGAGCTTCAGACAGCAGTTTCACTTCTGAATCCCCCAGGTTATTGTAACTCAGATCCAGCCCTCTCAGACTGGAGTGTTGAGACAGAAGAACAGAGGCCAGATCTTCACAACATCTCTCTGTTAGTTCACAGTTCAGCATCCTGCAGACAAAAAGACAGGAGTACAGCTGAACATCTGCACAGCTCATCCACATCTTTCTGTCCAAGTCATCACTACAGCACCCAGCTCAGCAGTAATATACAACATCATATCATTATCCATCTCAGAGTGTCCGTGGATGATGAAGACAACAACTGCTTCAAATCTGGGGATGCAGGAGGAAGAAGAAAGATGAAAAGAAATTGTCAGAAAGGTAGACAGTAGAAAACAGGGAGACACACAGAGATACAGTGAAAAGGGAAACAAAGATTTTTTGGTAGAAATGTTAAGGCAACATACCCTTTTGAACAAGATAAAATAATGGAACAAAAACAAAAAACAACCAAAATTATAACTATAACAAGACAATAAAAATGTGAACAGCATACAAGCCCAAACCATATATACTGCAGCCCCCCCCAAAAGAAAACAACCAAACAAATCATGAAAATACATTAACCCCATTTATCCCAATAATATACAAAACTGTGCAGTTTTCACAAATGCAAGACTCTACTCACAGAAGAGTAACAGTGTCAGAAAACCAGACCTTTTCCAATATAAGTATTTTCACAGTTTTACTAGAAGAACTGTAGTTAGATTCTGCTCTTCATCAGCCCCTCAAACACTCACCTCCTCTACAGATCTTCCACCTGAGATTGTGTTCATGGTGGTCTTAAGGAACAGCCCAGCAGAAAGTGCTCTAGGTACAATTCTCTTCTTATTGACATAACTCACCCTGAACACAACAGCAGGGCTGCTGAAGGCCAGACTACAGTCAGTGAAGAGGAGGATCAAGAGGATTAACAAGGATGTCAGACAGGAGCAGGTGGTATAGCAGTGAAAGAACAGCTCCCTCTCAGAACAGTAGGAACAGACATCAGACACAGATGGATATAAAACAGACACAAACTAACTGACAGCCAGGATAGTGCACAGGATTCTCCACTAGCAGATTACCAGCTCTGACAATAATTCAATTCAAGCTTCATGGTCCCTTTGGAGACATTACTTTTACAGCACACTCCCAACATAACAGCACGATGACAGGCAAAAAAGTCAGTGAAACAGTGTTACAGTACGATAAGGGAGAAGATAGTTACAATACATTGTTTGAAAGAGATTTTGCAGTAGGGATGAAAGATTTCCTGTTTCTGTTAGTATTACACTTGGATACACAGAGGCATCTCCCAGATGGGAGACTTGTAAACTCACAATGCAGAGGGTGAGAGACACAATCCACAGTACACAGTGCTTTATCTGTCACTTTCTGTTTGAAGATGATATTTAAGGCAATTTGATTTGTCCCAGTTATTTGCTTCTTAATTTGACTAGTTTTTCCAGGCTATTACAATCAATGGTACTGATGTTACCAAACCAGCAAATGAGACAGTATGTTAATATACTTTCAATCAAAGACTTGAAGAAAAGTGATAGCATGGTTCTATCTACAGATGCAGCCATTCAAAATGCACGGTCAAACCTATATTGCGGGCATCTACGCATGCGCCACGCGCCCTACCGCAGTATGTGACTGGCTGGCCGAAATAATCAGGGGCACTCGTGGTGCATTGGTCAGTAGTGAAAAGATTTAAACATTTTAATCCGCTTAGTATTGAATATTTATATGGAATTTTACCACTAAAGGGAGATTTTAGTAGCTCAGCATAAAACGAATAGGAGCATAACGCATCTGAAGGTCATAAAAAATATTAATTTAGGAACATAAACGTATTAATGTATGTAAACTGTACTGTATATGGCTGGTCTTGGTGTTTTAAAGAAAAAATACACACCAGTATTCCATTTCTCCATAAACATGTTTTCAGTCTTACATGTGGTTATTTAGGAAACATTTTTACATGCTGCTTCTGACCATTTAGTATTATTTTACATTTATATACTTTGTGACAATTGATCGTTTTAACCTTTTCTGCGAATATGCTCGTTATCAGAGTAAACAAAAAAACAGATTCACAGCACGAAGCTGTGTTTAATTCAGCACAGCCAGCACTCCCACAGAGAGAGATGAAAACCACGCAGCGCCAGGCTACCTTCTTGAGCATTATGTGTACAAAAAATATTTTATATCTTTATATCAATATTTTATGTCTTACTGTTTCCATTCACCAGACAGAAATATCCAGGAAAAAAACACATAAAACAAGAAATAGATTTTTTTCTGTCTTCAAAGATCAATATTTTAAGTTCTGGACCTTAAAAAGTCTGAAAATGCTTATAGACCTTTCCCTGCAGTATGTGTCTTCTAGCTTGAATAAAAAATAAAAATAAAAATTTGAGACAAATGGAACAAATTCTACGTATTGTATTGTGAAGATTTGGAATGGTATTACTACAGATGCAGCCATTCAAAACGAGCGGGGTATGCTGCGGTACAACGTGGTGGGCGTGTTGCAATGAATGCGTCTTATTGCGTCATTTCACGTCACACTGCGCTGTACCGTGTGCAAATTCGATTTTGTTAATAGTATCGGGAATCACCTTGTAAAACCTCCAGGTGGAGCTAATAATGCTCTTATGTACAACATTTGAGCTGTCACCAGAAAACACACATTTTTGAATCCCGATCACTGCTGAGGGACAATATTTAGACTTTAGACTTTTACATTTAAACAGTGTATTACAGCATTTTAATCATTATATATTAAAAAGTTGGTACATTTTATGAAAGCAAGATTGCTCAGTTGGATAAAAGTACACAACCTACCACCTTTAGCATACATATTTTAATTATGCAGAAATATTTTATGCATCAAAGTCTTTACTGAAGATATTACTAATAGTATGATTAATGAATGACTTTGGACAAGCTGTAAACTCAAAGTATTACCCTGGTCCACATTCTTTGTAACCATCTTTGTAAACGAAAATACTTTATTTTTCCATTGACAAAAAGTAACACCACAGCATTTCATTGATCCGATCACACATTTGTTTCCAATCATACAAAGTAAGTCTTGAGAATCTCCAATTCACCATGCCTTTCACATGCGCATAAAAGATATTTTTTTAGGAAAAAATAGGAACATAATTTAGGAACATAAACATATTACTTTATGTAAACTGTACTGTATATGGCTGGTCTTTGTAGATTAAAGAAAAAAATACACAGCAATATTCCATTTCTCCCTAAACATTTTAAGCATCAGTCTTACATGTGGTTATTTAGGAAACTTTTTTACATGCTGCTTCTGACCATATAGTATTATTTTACATTTATATACTTTGTGAAAATTGATCGTTTTAACCTTTTCTGCGAATATGCTCGTTATCAGAGTAAACAAAAGAATACTTTTAGAATTTGATTAATAGGAAATATAATATGGAATCACCTATCTAAAGAAATTAATAACAATATAATTATATTCATGTACTGTTCCACGAATGGTAGTATAAGACTTTCCATTGATGTCTACTTCTGTTTCACTGTTTAGTGTGGGTCTGTGGCATGATAGTTTAAGTGAATGATTTATAAAACTATGGTGGGGTGTTCAAATCCAGCTATCGCCATGAGTTTTCTTTTAACAAATAAACATTTCTTTGAAAAACTAAAATAGCAAATATTATGGACACTACTGTATATTGACATTTTTTATATTTCTAAATATCACAGCATGTTCGAGCT